AGTAGCTCAGAATAGCCTGGAGAGTAACCATCACACCCTGATTCACAAATAAGAAAATGACATTCCCACCTCTTTCAATAGCATTGATCTTCTCAAGTCCACCGGGCAGGCCTGGCCCAGCTGCCTTTAATGTTTTTCCTGTCCCACAGGAGTCACAGAAAAGTCCAGATGTTGGGGTGGCCACCTCTTTTTTTTTTTTTTTTTGAAGTTTATTCGTTTTTGAGAGAGAGAGAGAAAGAGAGAGCACAAGCAGGGGAGGGGCAGAGAGAGGGAGACACAGAATCAGAAGCAGGCTCCAGGCTCTGAGCCGTCAGCACAGAGTCCGATGCAGGGCTCGAACCCACAAACCTTGAGATCATGACCTGAGCTGAAGTCAGTAGCTCAACTGACTGAGCCACCCAGGCGCCCTGGGATGGTCACCTCTTATACATGTGTCTGTGTCCCCCAGAGAACCCTGTTAATGGAGGATATTCATTGTGGTGTTTAGAATAACCCAGAAAATCCCACAAATGGGACTGGCCAAACAAATGATCACACATCCTTACTATGGAAGTCCGTGTGGCCTGGAGAATGGTGACACACAGCACTTACCATGTACATATGCACTGGGTACCATATGCACTCTGATCTAATCCTTGCAGCAACCCTATGAAGTAGAGGTTATTACTGGAGTCATATTACAAATGAGAAAACTGTGGCACAGAGCAATTCAGTTCTTTGCCTAAGGTCACACAGTAAGTGATAGAGCCCGGATTCAAACTCAGAAATTCTGGTATCAGAGCCTGAGTTCTTAGCCACCATGATTTAGTGTTATAGAAAGATGTTCCTGGCTTGGAAATTACTTATGATACACTCTTCGTGAAAAGAGTAAGTTAGCACACAGTATATGCTATATAATCCCACTTTTGTAGAGGAAAAAAACAAGGCATACATTCACATGAGTAGAAAAAAAATCAGACAAATATACAAAAAGAAGGAGAGCTGGTTTTAGGAGATATTAAAAATCACGGGTGCTTTATGTAAACTTTGTGCATGTCTGCATTTTCAAAGTTTTCTACGGTAAATCTGCCCACCCCATGCAATAATAATAATAATTACTAACATTTATGAAGCATTTTCTATGCTTCTGACACTTACATGAACTTCCTCACTCATTCCTCACAACTGCCCTATGAGGTTGACACTGATTCTCCCTGCTTTACCGATGAGGAAACAGACTCAGAGATACCCATCATCATACCCAAGTTCACACAGCCGATCATTTGCAGAGCCAGGATTTGAACCCAGCTTGGCCGGAGCTCACGTTTGTGGAATGAATGAATGATGGACTTAGCCACACTTCAAACGGGCATGGCCAGAGCAGGATCACACCCTTGGCGTGGACAAACTTCCAGAGAGGGAACGGAGGACCCACCTACTTCCTCGGTCACTGCCCGTGACTGAGCTTTACAATGCTTGACTCAGATGAGGACAGCATGGTGAGTCTTCTCACGGAGTCCTGTTTTTCAGAAAACGCATGATTACGTGGCAACTCTGCAGTCTCTCTGCCTTGATTCATTGCACCTAGAGGGAGGCTGGTCGCTCGGATCAGATTGCCGCAGGCATGGCCTCCCTTGCCCACCTTCATTTCAATAACCCGGTTGCCGCTCACGCTTACGTAGCTTCCCATTTGTAATCACCCCGTGAGGAAAGCAGAGCAGCTCGTCTTCTTTGACTCATAAGGAAATTGAGACTGTGAGTGGGTTACTAAATGGAAAGCAGAATTGCAAAGGAGTCACCGGCATAAGCCGTGGCGTCACATGGCTGTGGGTTGAGTCCCAACCCTACCATTTATTAGCTGTGTGACTTTGAGCACTCCCAACCCTTTTCTGAGCAACAGTTCCTTCATCCATAGGAGACGGTGCCTGTACTCAGAGGCTTGAGGGGAAAAGAAAATGAGATGACGTATGCAGAATGCTGGGTCCAGTGCTTGGCATTCTGGAAATGGCAGCTGTTATTTATTCAACAAATATTTATGGATCACCTACTACGGACCGGACACTAGGTGCTGAGCTGCAATAGTCAAAAGTCCCTGTTCTCACGTTGCTCGGATCTGAGCTGCTGAGACCGGGAGGGGTTATCTGGCAGGAAGAGGGTTTCAGGCAGGAGGAACAGCAGGTGCGCACCGTGCTTTTTCCCCAACATTTTCTTAGGAAAAATTTCTAACGTACGCCAAAAAGGCTTGAAAGAATTCTACGACGGAAAGCCATTTATAACCCGCCTCGATTTGGCAAGTAACATTGAACTGTGTTGGGGTTTTTAAATTTTGTTTTATTATTTACTTATTTTTGAGACTGCGTGTGCCTGCGTGAGCAAGTGGGGGAGGGGCAGAGGGCGAGAGAGAATCTTAACCAGGCTCCGCACCCAGGATCGTGAGATCATGACCTGAGCCAAAATCAAGAGTCGGACACTTAGCCGACTGAGCCACCCACTTTTTTTGTTTTAGGACATAGCTGCCCTCGAATCCCTGTGCTTTCTTGTACCAGGTGAATTGCCTTGGTGATTTGGGGACAGAGTGTCTGGAACAGTAGTCAGAAAACAGGGACCTTTTGCAAGCGTTAGAGGGGCAGAAAGAAAATGGTGCTTTTGACCAATCTGCTGGGAGAGGTCCAGGGTGGGGGACACCTCCCTTCATTAAAGAAAGCCTGTTTGGCAAGGAGCTTGGTCCTCTCGTGGAGCAGCCAGTCCCTCACTGGGACAGGGGCAGGACCCATGGGGGTTTCAGGTGCTGTGGAACCGGCTTCTGCCCACATTGAGTCTGCCAGCCCGTAAACAACCATGGGGGGGGGGGGGCTCCAGGCACGGGGGCTGGCAGTGACTGAAAATCTTTAGTGTTCATCTGGCTGACATTTGGTGCCCCTGGGCAGGTGGGTCGAGCTGCCTGGTTTACAAGCTGCTGGTACAGGACCCAGGCCAGCCAGGGCCTTATTTATCCCCCACACCGGGGAGTTCCTCCTTAAGGAAGGCCAGAAATCAGAACCAGGGGGCGATCATGAGGGAATGGAGACTTCCGTCCCTGATCTCTAGGGGTCAGGGCACCTTCTCTCTGTTGCTACTGTTCAGGCGGCAGAGGGCTGGGAAGCCTCCTTTCCTAGACTTCTAGAATTGGAAGAGGGCTTAGCTAAAGCAAAAGAAACCAGTGTCAGTGGTTTACAGGCTGAATTCATTAATATATTGGTTTGGTTTTTTTTTTTTTAAACAAAATTGGGAACATACCTTACATACTGTATTATTACTTGCTTTTTCTACCAAATAGTGTATCCTCTGTGTCACTTTTGATACACCTTAAAAGCAATTCTTCCCGACTTTCCCACATACGTTCAGAACCACGGCTTTAGTGGCAAGATGTGTGGCCCGTAGTTTATTTACCTGTCCCTTACTATTAGACATTCAGCTTATTTTTGATTTTTTTTTCCTTCTACAAATAAGCCGCACTGAGCAAGAATGAAGTGATTTCCACTGACTGTACGACCTTGGGTATGGCCTTCTGGGTGTGAGTCTAGTCATCGAAAAACAAAATGACAAGATTCTACTGGGTGATTACAATCCCCTGCAAATCACGTATGAGTCACTTCTGAGACATCACTGCCAAATAACCGTCAGCTTCTGTTTACATTCCTCTAGTGACAGGGTACTTACTACCTCATGAGCAGCCTGTTTCACTGGACAGCTGTAATGGTCAATACAGGATCCACTCATGTTGGGCCCAAATGTGCCTCCCTGCAACTCCTAGTCTGGTTTTATGATCTGAGGCCTCACAAATTCAGTCTATACTCAGTGGCCAGTGGCTGGGGCCAGTGTCGAAAGCAAGAAAACTTCAATCCCTCCCTCCCTCCCTGCCTCCCTCCCTCTCTTTCTTTATGCTTGTTATATGTCCGACCTTCTGCTAGCCTCAGGGATGTGAGCTGCCAAATTAGCTGCAGGGTCAGAACTGGATCCCAGGCGCTCTAAATCCCATTTCAAGGGACTATCGAAGGCTGTGGGACAGGGGTGCTGAGGCTGGTGGCCTGCCTCCAATGAGCTCCAACCACTCATGCCCCAGGCAGGATCCTGGGTCGCTCTGTGAGGAGGTGAGTAGGGCTGGAGACAACCACAGCCTAGGGCTGGGGCAGGACCCTGCCAGGTTTTTACTAGAGCTGGACCCAAGTCTCCTTTTTATTCCCCCATCTACCCTTAAAAGACTTACAAACAAGTAGATTTAAATACAGATTCAAATACAAATAATTTCAACTGTGTAACTCTGAGAATTTAGTTCCCCTTGGACCCTGTCTGTATCCTCCTCAGGGCTTAGTATTGTTCTTTGCTTCCATTCATTCATTCATTCATTCATTCCTTCTTGTTCAATACGTCCTTGTGAAGCACGCACTGGGTGCCCTTTCTGAGGTGGTAAGGTATTAAAGAGAAATTTTGTGAATCCAAATCCCCCTCTGAGCCTTAGTTTCCCCATCTGTAAAAGAGGAGTGTTGACCCGTTCTCTACCTGTCTGGTGAGGGAAACTGAAGGAACCAGCAAAGGAGGGTTCTTACGTTTGGGTGCTGAGTGAATGAATGCCCTCTCTCTCTCTTTTTTTTTTTTTAACATTTATTTATTTGTGAGAGACGGGGCACGAGCAGAGGAGGGGCAGAGAGGGGGGAGACACAGAATCCGACGCAGGCTCCCGGCTCTGAGCTGTCAGCACAGAACCCGACGCGGGGCTCGAACTCACGGACGGCGAGATCATGACCTGAGCCGAGGTCAGACGCCCAGCCGACTGAGCCACCCAGGCGCCCCATGAATGCCGTCTTCTAAACTGAGCACAGTGCCTGCCGTAGAGTAGGAGCGCAGCAACTACTTGTGGAATGAATAAATGAATAGCGAATCAATGAGTTCATGTTGGAATAAGTGCATTTCTTCCCCCTCCCTGTCATAGTCCCTCTGCTCCTGTGTTAACTCCATAGACAGGCCAGCAGAGCCAGTCTTGCAGCCTGAGATAAGGCTGTTGGCGGGTGTCTCCCCTATGACTCCCTTGAGGGGGGGACGAGGGCAGACGGCTGATGCCTGGAGCTGGTGAAAGTGCCACACGGAGCCGGACCCAGAATGGGCTCTAAGTACCCACGATCCATGCAGTGCTTCCTGCCCCTGTGGACCCTAGTGCTGGAGGTGGCTCTCATTGTCACCTTCTTCTTTTTCACCTCCTATGACACTTCCTCACAGGATCCAAAGAAGCTCATGGAGACCTATCGAGGTGAGTGTCCAGAGGGGAGGTGGTCACAGAGGCAAGCAGCAGGGACAAGGGAAGAGGAGGTCCGTGATCCTCCGGGGGCCTAGAGGTTCCTTTCCACAAAGTCGTTGAGTAAATAGGTTCCCACACCTTCTTCCGTGGGTTGTGCAAAGACCCAGCCAACAATGTAGGCTCTCCTTTAGGACCAGCGTGGACAACCCCTCTTCCATGAAGCCTTCCTTGATTTGTCAGGGCAGTCCGGGGCCTCCTAGTCTGTATTTACAGAATTCCCTTTGCCAAATGGTCTTTGTAAGTCTCTGCTTCTCTGTCCCCTCCTCCCCTTTCTCCTTAACAGCAAGGAATTTCACGTTGTTCGGCTTTTAGTTTTTGTTTCCTGTTTGGGGGTCTCTCTTGTTCATTTCTGTGCCACCCTCCTTTCCGGAGCTTTGGTCTGTTGCCCCTCCTCCACCCCCAGCCTTCTCCTCACTTATTGGCCGGAAGTCTGCATTCTGTCTGCAAACCCAGAGGCATAGGTATGGCTGAAGAGGAGTGTAGAATGGTCGTTATTCTACATGCAGCTAAAAATAGTCACAGACTGTGACGAGGACAACTGTCAACAAGACGGGGGTGTCGCTTTTGCTTTTTTAATTTTTTAAAAATTATTATTTTTTAAATGTTGTATTTATTTTTGAGAGAGAGAGCATGAGCAGGGAAGGGGCAGAGAGCGAGGGGGCAGAAGATCCTAAGGGGCTCCGCGCTGACAGCAGCGAGCCTGATGCGGGGCTCGAACTCACAAACTGTGAGATCATGACCTGACCCGAAGTCAGACGCTTAACCGACTGAGTCAGCCAGGTGCCCCCTGCTTTTTGCTTTTTTTAAAAAAAATTGAGATGAGTTTCAAGTCATCTCAGGGGGACGATATCTTATCTATGATAATGGATGGGCCTCCTTGAGTGACCTCCCTGAGACAAAGCTGAACCTGGAGTCTGGTTGAGTGCCTGCTTCTTCCTAAGAGATGTGAACTGGCTAGTTAGTTAAAGCAAAGGTAAGGCATCCCGGGGCCTCAGCAGCAGGAGTGGGACAAAGAGATGGGGGGGGGGGGGCGGGAGGGGGCAGGCAGGGAGATAGGTCGGGGGAGGGAAGCATCTACACTTCAGGGGCTGCCTAGGGAGGGGCCCTAGGCTTGTTGTACCTAACAAGCAAGGCCTGGGCACAATTTAAATTCATTTCAGTTTACCTTAATTCTTTTCAATCCAATACAGTGCAATTCAATGCATGCATGCATTCATTCATGCAAGCCTGTTATCGTATCCCTAAATGTGGGATTTAGACACATGCCAATCAGAGCTAATATTTCTTGAACTCTCACTATGTACCAGGCACTATTTAAATGCTTTATGTTGAACCCTCACAACAACCCCATGAGGTAGGTATGATTATGATCTCTGTTTTTCATATAAGGAAATTAGGCACATAGATGCTGAAGAGAGGTCACTCAGTAGCGACAGCATAGCAAATTTAAATTTATACAGCCTGGTTTTAGTTTCCATGCACTTAACCATTTGGCTTCACTGCCCCATTTCACAACGAGGTCGAGTCACTTGTCGTATAACCATTGGGTATAGGAGCCAGTATTTAAACTCTCTAGAGTGGCTCCAGGGTCCATGTTCTTCAGCCTTGTGCTGTGCTGCTAGCATAAAGTGTCCTCAGACACTCACTTTCCATAGAAGCACAGAGAAGAGCCCATAACCTGGGCAAGGGAGTGGATAGTGTCAGGGAAGGCTTCTGGAAGGAAGTGACTGCCCAGCCAGGTCTTGGAGGCTCAGTAGGAGTCGACCATGTGAAAATGGATCATCATCCAGAGTAAGAGGACAGCAAGAGCCACTGTGTGTGCACTCATTGGAGTGGACCAGGTGAAGGCTTAACATTGCAACATTGGAGCACCAAGATGGGGGTAGGACATGGTAGACCGACTGGATTGAGTCTGGAGTTTGACCCTCATGCTGCTGACCTAATAGGACAAGTTTGGGTTCAGGTTATGGCGACATGCACCATATTTACATGTTACAGGCAAAGTACTGCTACGTTAATATCTTTTATACATTATAATAATACATACACACAAATTAGAAAATTTGAAAGAGGTCAAATGAAATACATAATATTTTCAAATTACAGGTTGTGAGGGTACCAGGACCAGTCAATCTTGAGGCAAGGTCCATTGTTCCCATTACCGAGAAAGAATGTAAATCCATTCCTAGAGTCTTCTTGATAATTTCAAATTCTCTTGGTTGACTTCCTGTCAGATCTAATTAGACTGACTTCTTTTTAACTTTGTGACCAGTAAAGAGTTTGCACAACTCTTTGCCCTTTTTTTTTTTTTCATACACTTGGCTGCCATTACGGTTTTGCCTTCATTCGGTGGTTTTAGGCAGGCGTCCGTTCCGTGAAGGTTAGTTGAACTAGAACTAGGTAACCTAATCTGTCAACTCACTTAATCTAATCCAGTCCAGGGGAACAACAATGTTATTCAAACCTGCCAATTCCAAAAAGACATTTTTGAGACAATCAGCAAGAAGCCTGTACGATACCCAGGAATTGTTGTTAGTTTTGTTAAGTCTGAGAGCAGCATGCTGGGGTTTTTTTAAAGGCCCTATCTGCTAGAGAGATATACTGAAATGAGGCAATGTCTGGGGCTTGCTTTATGCCAAAATAAATAAATAAATAAAATAAAATAAAATAAAATAAAATAAATAAAAAAGAAAAAGAAAAGAAAGAAAGAAAGAAAAAGAAAACAGTGGAAAAGGATAATAAAATAAGATTGGCCCCGTGTGACAGTCATCAAAACTGGGAATGGGCACATGACATTCATCAAGTGACTCTCTGCTCTTGTATATGCTTAAACTTTTCCATAATCCATAATCAAATTTAAAACAAAAACAAAACGAAATCCTGCCATCCGTTGCAACATGATGAATACAGAGAAACAGATGTCCCTTCTTCCATGTGGCCCAATACTCCCCTCAGGCCACCTTCCAAAGCTAGGAGACTAGAAGCTGTCTGACATCCTGAGCAGGCAGAGGAGGCTCCTGGGGTAACGTGGATCTTAAATACTCTCAGAAATGCAAACTTCACCCAGGGCCTTTGGAGGAAGAGGCGCCTAGATCAGTGGTTCTCAAAGTGTGGTCCCCAGAGCAGCTACCTCAGCCACGGGCACCTCAGGAATTTGTTAGAAATGCAGATTCCCAAGCCCACTCCATACCTATCCATCAGAAATGTTCAGGGTAGGGCCCAGCAACCTGAATTTTCCCAAGCAAGCCCTCAAAGTGACTCTTATGCATGTGAAAAGTTTGACAAATGTTGGAGCCAGACGGATTCAAACCCCGCCTCTGCCTCTCCTTAGCTGTGAGACCTTGGGCAAATTATTCACCATCTCTCTGCTTCATTGCTATCACATGACAATAGTACTTTCTCCATACATTGTTGAAAGGATTGAAAGAACAAACACATATAAAGACAGATTAAACGTATTTGCTTTTATTATTAATAGACTTTAATTTCTTCTATTTTTTAAATACCATTTTTTGATGTTTACTTATTCTTGAGAGAGAGAGAGATTGACCAAGCATGAGTGGGGGAGGGGCAGAGAGAGTGGGGGACACAGAGTCCGAAGCAGGCTCCAGGCTCTGGCTGTCAGCACAGAGCCCGATGCGGGGCTCGAACTCATGAACTGTGAGATCATGACCTGAGCCGAAGTCGGACGCTTAACCGACTGAGCCGCCCAGGCGCCCCAGTTCCTGATACTTTTATAAAAACAAACAAAACTGGAAGGGCTAATATGTTCCTCCGGGAGCCCCTGTGGATCTTCTGGAGCATCTTCTGAGGTGTGCGTTCCCTACACTGGCGACCACCGTCCACACGGCTGGCGATGAGACCAAATGGGCAGGGACCATGAGGGAGAAGCAAAGAGTCACAACATTCAAGAGATAGCTAGGAGATCAAATGAGCTGTACCCGGTGAAAGTGAAAGGAGCTCAGGATGGCTTTAGACGTGTGGTTGGGCATATGGACGTGCCAATTCCTGAGGTGAGAAGCAGGTTCACGAAATGAACAACGATATATTCACTCTAGGCTTGGGGTTGAGGCGCCTCTGAGATGCTTAGGGGAAGCAGAGTGTATCAGCTATCCATGGCTGCATAACAGACCACCCCCAAACGTAGTGACTTCAAATGGCCATTTTGATTTGTTAATGGCCATTTGATTTGTTCCCGATTGTGATTAAGTGGTTCAGCGATACGGGTTGGGCCCAGCCTGGTGGTTCTTCTGTCAGTTTCCTAGGCTCTCTCGTGCATGTGCAGCCTGGAGGTTTGACTGGCGTGGGACGGCCTCATTCACATGTTTGGCGGGTGATGCTGGCTCGTAGTGCATGTGATGTGGCTCCATCACCCTAGCCCAGACTTCTTCACATGGTAGCAGAATAGTTACTGCCGCAAAAGAGGGCAAGTCCCAATGAGTGGGTGCTTTTCAAACCTCTGCTTGTATCGTGTTTACTCATGTCTCATTGGCCAAAGCAAATCACAAGGCCCAGCCCAGGGGGGAGGGGCCTATACTGGAAGGCATGATTCCTTCATTGGAACCCATTATTGTAATGATCTATACACAGAGCCTCTTCTAGGACTGCCAGACTGAGGGAACATCCTGGGCCCTGCACTGTGGATACTACCCAACTCCCCCCTTACTCCCCAAAGGGAGGAGAGCTACTAAAAGACACGAGGGGCTTTCCCACTGACATATAAATATGGTACCCCCAAATCCTAGAAAGTCCCATGTCTTAGCCTTGGCTGTCCCCTTTGATTGGGAAATCTCTTTTTCTATTCCCAGAATGCTGTAGGGGTGAAGGTAGGGTGGGAGTAGAGGCTATTCGGGAGCAGAAATCAGCATGGGCACTATGGGTGGTCCCAGTCTGGGGCTGCCGAGATCTTCTCAGTCAGCAGTGGGGAGAATAGTGTGGAAGTCGAGCCTCCTAAGGGACAGAAGCTGGGTCTGGCTTCAGAGCTGTTGGTGCTGAAGTGCCTGCAGGCCAGAGGAAGGAGCAAAGGCGGGTGGGAACACAGAGCTAGGATCACAGGGGCAGCCAGGCCGGAGGAGGGGGGGAAGAGTCTTGCCCAAAGTCACACAGCTAATGAGTGGTAGGCACAGGATACGTGATTTGCGTGAACCGGCGAAAATGTTCGTGACAATCCTCTGAGCAGGCACCATTGTTTCATACCCATTTTACAGATTAGGCAGCCGGGACACAGAGGTAGAGCCAGCCTCTGGACCCTGACAACCTGACTCAGTCCATACTCTTCACCATTACACTATGTGTGCTATACGGAGAGGCACGATGTGTGGTGGTTAAACCCAGATGGTCCAGATTCAGATTGCTCACCATTTGCTAGCTGTGTGACCTGGGCTAGTTACAGCACCTCTCTGTGCCTCCCTTTCCTTATATGTAAAATGTGGGTAACAAATAGGACGTACTGCGCGAAGTTGCTGTCGGTTAAAGCTGTCAGGCACTTAGAAGGGGGCCTGGTGTGGGGGGGCGCACCACATACGTGGCTGCTGTTACAATGCTGGTAACAAGTGCCTCGTCTCAACACTGGCCTCTCAGGCTAGACCCTTTCTGCAAGCCATGGGGCTTTCATAAAATTCTCCGGAGGCCTGTCTTAGACTGTAAAATTCCCCTCTGGGGCCCAGTCACGGGGGCCCCTGTCGCACATCCACTCCTTATCACCCCTGAACACCTTAGAGGCCATTAGCTTATCAGCCCAGCAGCCGACGTGGGGTGCAGCGCCGGCTCTGAGAGGTGGAGGCTGGCACCACTGGGGATGCTCTGAGCTGGGACCTGGCCCTGAAGTGGGGGTCCGGATAATGAGACCTAGGAAGAATCAGAGAGGGGCCTGGGAGACCAGGAGAAGAAGCAGGAGAGTGCAGGGAGCGGAAAGGCCTGAATTCTAATGTCATGGACTGATGCATTTAGGGTGAATGGGCTCTGTCGACAGCTCCCAGAAACTGCCACCCTGACTTTATCCCGCTGGGTGGAGTACAGCTCCTCCCTTAGGGACAGTGTGGGGCCTTGGGGAGGAAGGCCCCGAGCTCCTACACCGGGCAGTGGTGGGGACGGTAGCTGTGCCTGATAAAGCCCCCCCACCCGAGATCCTCTGACTTCCTCCTCCTTAGGGCCCCGCCTCTGCCCTATCCCGGTCACCCTCCTCTCCCCACCCATCGATCCTCCCCTCAGAATATGCCAGAGTTGGGGCGCCTGGGTGGCTCAGTCGGTTAAGCATCCGACTTCGGCTCAGGTCGTGATCTCACGGCTCGTGGGTTCGAGCCCCTCGTCGGGCTCTGTGCTGACAGCTCAGAGCCTGGAGCCTGCTTCGGGTTCTTGTGTCCCTCTCTCGCTCTGCCCCTCCCCCACTCATGCTCTCTCTCTCTCTCTCTCTCTCTCTCTCTCTCTCTCAAAAATAAATAAACATTAAATATTAAAAAAAAAGAATATGCCAGAGTTATAAGGGCCTTAGAGAGTACCAAGTCCAACACCTACATGTTTACGGAGAGAGAAATTGAGGCCCAAAAGAGGACAAGGCCCTTGCCTGAGGTCCCTTAGTGAGGTGGGGGTGGACAAGAGCGAGAAACAGCCCAGCCCGGTTAAAGAGCACCATACCTGGGGGTCAGAGCTTGGTTCTGCTGCCAGCATGCTCTGTGGCCTTGAGGAGGTCACAGGCTCTCTCTGGTCTGCTTCTACACAACGGGAGGAAAATGAAAGGGTCTCCCGACTCATGGAATCTTCAGTAAGTCTGGACCCTATGCATTTAGAGTTGCTGCTAAATGGCACACGGGTTGGGCTTAACAGCAGTCTTTAAGACAAGATTGAATTTGAATGCTGAAAGCGGGGTGTCCGATCTCTAGTTGGCCACAGGCCCTTTCATCCATACGGTTTCCTGCTTGGGTCCTGAAGGAATTTGAGCGCTCCCAAGAGAAACGCCCTGTACATGTGCCAAGAGGGTGCCAACACGAGACTGAAATGTTGCCTGCACCTTTCTCTCCCCCCACGTCGGGGGAGAAGGGGCAAAAAGTTGAATCAGTGCCCTTTCTCACCTACTCCCCAAGCTCCCAGAGCCTTTGGGGTCCTCAGGGGTCTCCAACATCCTGGTGTGATCAGATTGTTTGGGGACACGTTAACACCCACCCAAGTTTGATGTGTACGACCCTAGGTCTACGCATTTCTCAATGAAAGTGGGTTTAAATGTAACTCGAAGTAGCTTTCTGAGACTTTGGAGAGTTCTGGAAATGAGTGCTTCCTCGTTGTCATCAGGGCCAGGGCTCGAGGCCCGCGGAGAGCAGGTGGGTTCTGGTAACCGTGACGGTGACAAGAATGACGGCGGTGCTGGTGAATCGCCACCACTTACGGAGTGCCAAGCACTTGAACAAAATATCACTTCCTTCAGCTCTCCCGCCCCCTCGGAGGTGGGTATAATGGCCCTTATTTAGCTGACGAGGAAGGTACGGCACCTCCGAGGGCACAGAGCTATGAGGTTGAAGCATATATAAAATGCCATTTTTATAGGTCAAAAATGGCCAAGTGTTGGCAATTTTAATACGGTTTAACCTAACGGGGAATGACAGAACGGGGACCAAACAGAAGTGTCTAAACTTGAAGGCTGTGCTTTCTTTGGTGTGTGTGCGTGTGTTGTTTTGTTTTCGTTCACTGTCTAAGTGCTGGTTGTAGAAAATTTAACACAGAAAAAAGAAAAAAAAAAAAAAAAAGTAAAACTCTCCCCAAACCAGAGGATAATATTCATCGGGGGAAAAGTTCTTGCAAGTTCTCTCCCTGGGTATTTATACATGTGAAATACTCGGTGTTTGTTGATCAAACGTCTTTCTGTCCTGAGTGATGATGGGCATTATAGCATCGGACTCTGGGGACCCGATGAGGGGTGTGATCGTCTTTCCCATTGAGCGGGTGAGAAAACTGAGAGCAGATAGTGTGGTGGGTGAAGGCACAGGCTTCGGGGCAGACCATCTAGGTTTAAATCTGGCTGTACGACCTGGGGTGAGTTACTTCACTCCTCCGTGGCTCGGCCTTCACATCTGTGACGTGGTGATAAGAACAGCACCCGCCTTGGAAGGTGGTTGTACGAAATAAGTGAGATGGTCTGTGTGAGGTGATTAAAATCCTGGCTGGCTCAGTCCGGAGAGCGTGGGATTCTTGATCTCAGGGTCATGAGTTCGAGCCCCGCGTTGGGCAGAGAGATTACTTAGAAAAATAAAGTAAATAGGGGCGCCTGGGTGGCTTGGTCGGTTAAGCGTCCGACTTCAGCCAGGTCACGATCTCGCGGTCCGTGAGTTCGAGCCCCGCGTCGGGCTCTGGGCTGATGGCTCAGAGCCTGGAGCCTGTTTCCGATTCTGTGTCTCCCTCTCTCTCTGCCCCTCCCCCATTCATGCTCTGTCTCTCTCTGTCCCAAAAATAAATAAAAACGTTGGGAAAAAAAATTAAAAAAAAAAAAAAAGAAAAAGAAAGTAAATAAAAGAGTGTTGCCATATGGGAAACACTCAATACATGGAGGCTGCTACTAAAGTTCAGAGACATTACACAACTGGCTTAAGCCGCACAGCTGGAAACTGCTAGAGCCCTGATTTGAACCCACGTTTGTCAAGCTGCGAACCAGTTTTCAAGCTTGGAAGTAAATACAAGGGTCCACCCTTTTCCTTTTGCTGGACCTCTCCCTGCCGTTAGACAAGTCTCTTGCGCTCACCTGCCACAGCAGCCCTTGAGCAGGGTCCAAGGCTGAAAAAAGGTGAGGGTCACTCAGAAGGCCCCGGTGCTTTCTGCCCGAACACTGGGTCCCTCCCAGCAAGGGACAAAGGGAGAGAGCTGTTTTTTGCAAGGATAATCTGGTTCTTATCAACAGAACTTCGGGACCTGCTTCTGCCCCCTCTTTTCTGGGCCAAGTCACTGGCTTCTGTGGCCTTATTTTCTTTCTTTTAAAAAAAAAATGTTTTAACGTTCATTTATTTTTGAGAGAGAGAGAAAGAGACACAGAGCACAACTGGGGGAGCGGCAGAGAGAGTGGGGGAAACACAGAATCCGAAGCAGATTCCAGGCTCTGAGCTGTCAGCGGATGAGCTGTCAGAGCCCAATGCAGGGCTGGAACCCATGAACCGTGAGATCATGACCTGAGCCAAAGTCAGATGCTTAACCCACTGAGCCACCCAGGTGCCCCATGTGGCCTTATGTTCTCACGTACATGATCAGGAGGTTGAATCTGATCCTCCATAGCAGCGGTAATTACCTTCATTGAATGTCAACCGTGTGCCAAGCATCGATCCAGATGTTTTACACATGTTCATTCCATCGAGTTTAGTAATAATAATTGCTACATTTACTGAGCACTTACTATGGGCCAGGCCCTGCCTTTGTGCCTACCCAGCATTAGCTCATCGAATCTTTGCCTCAGCCCTGCCTGCTATGTATTTTCCCCATGATTCAGATGAGAAGACTGAGGCTCAAAGAGGCAAAGCAACTTGCCCAAGCACTCTTCAATGGTCCCTTCCAGCTGCCACCCCCGCAAATTCACACGGAATGTAGGTACATTCTAATTCTGTAAGTTCTGTAAATTCCAATTTCATACAACTTTCCATCTCGTCTGCCTCCCTTTCTCCTTCTCCATATCTGCTCCTGGGCAGTCCTGCAGGATGTTACCATCATGGTGGCCCTTGGCTTTGGCTTCATCAACTCGTCTTTGCGGAGATACGGCTGGAGCAGCGTGGCCTTCAACCTCTTCTTGCTGGCCCTGGCGGTGCAGTGGGCAGTCCTACTGGATGGGTTCCTGGAGCAGCTCTCCCCTAAGAAGGTGGTCATCAAACTGTCCAGGTAAGCAGGCAGTGGCTGGATCGTTTTGTGGATCCTTGAGGTATGGGGCCCAAGAGGGCTGGTTCTAGAATAGCTGGGATGTCCCCTTGAAGCCATGCGATATTGGGATATACCCTCACAAATTATCCACTCTTTATCTAAAATTCAAATTGGGGGCGCCTGGGTGGCTCAGTCGGTTGAGCGTCCGACTTCAGCTCAGGTCACGATCTCACGGTCCGTGAGTTCGAGCCCCGTGTCGGGCTCTGGGCTGATGGCTCCGAGCCTGGAGCCTGCTTCCGATTCTGTGTCTCCCTCTCTCTCTGCCCCTCCCCCGCTCATGCTCTGTCTCTCTCTGTCTCAAAAATAAATAAACGTTAAAAAAAATTAAAAAAAAAAATAAAATTCAAATTGAACTGGGAATCCTGTATTTTCTCTGACAACCCCGGGCTCAGATCTACAGCCCTCCCCAAGTCCTTTCTTTATTATCGACTGTGATTTTGTAAAGTTACACAAGCAGCATGGGTTCAAAGAAAAATGAATAGAGATTACAGAAAAAAAGAAAAAGAAATATCAGTCTCTTGAAAATACAAAAGTACTGCTAGTCCTCAAATGTTGGTGAGCAAGAAATAGCCACGCCTTTCAATTAAGGTTGATCCATTTGGCTGTATTTGTATGAAACTCTTAGAAGTAGCAAAATGACCCATGTTGCTAGGAGTCAGAATAATGGTTACATGGGGAATGCGATGATTACTGAATAGGAGGGAGCAGTCGGTAGAGCATGCAAACCTTCATCTCGGCGGCATGAGTTCAAGGTCCACATTGGGCATGGTGCCGAGCCCCCCGCCAAAAAAAAGACAAAAAATTTTTTTAAAATTAAAAAAGCCGTTAGCCCATGACAGGGGAAACTAGGTAGAATTTACCTTGAAAATTGGTTTTTGGTTTTCTCCACCTCTGAATCTCTGTCCTGCCCAGATGATGATGGTAAATCCCATCTTGGGGGACCTGTCAGCTCTCCAGGCCACTCCACCCTCCCCTCTGAAGCCCTGCATCTCTGAGCACCGCTGTTGAACATCTCCCGGTGAGCCAAACACTGTACCAGGCAGTGCACAAACATGGCTTCGTTTAACCCTTCCAGCAGCTGGCTAACTGGTGTACAGGCTCCAAGAGCATAAGGCACTTACCAAGGCTCACACAGTTAAGGGGTGGAAAATGGCTTTAGCTTTTAACTATCTGTATGCAGCCCTTCCCACACACTCCAGGGTGGTCAGAACATGAAACATACAGAGCCCGGTCGGTTCTCTACTGACCCTGATAAAAACCTCCACATTTTTTTCTTCTAACAAGTTTTAGGCTAATCCCCACGGGGATTCAATCTGTCCCCACCCCATCCCCCCAAGAAACACCTGGGAAGAGGCAGAGGGCACTCTCCGGAGGAGCTCTGACAGCGGTGGCCCTGGTCTGGCGTTTCTGCTGCCTTGGCTTAAGGTCGCACAAACCTTCAGCCTCCTGCACCTACTGTCCAGGCATCTCTGGGCTGCTCCTTCTAAGGTCCCCCGCCCACAGGGACCAACTTGTTCTTGACTCAATCCAGGAAGACAAGAAGAGGCCCTTTGCAGCCTGAGTGAACTCCCCTGCCCCGCCTCTGACCGCTTGGATCCTCCCAGCTGTGACCCCCACCCCCCACCCCCACTGGGACTGACTTCCCAGATTGGAACAGAGAGCTTCTTCCCGACCCTTCCAGGGGCTGGGCTGGTGCAGGGGACGGGGCCAGGCTTGCCTCCGGTATAGCGCCCTCCCCTTCCCCCTCGGCCTCCCCTGCGCTGTGCAGCCTGACTTGGCACTGAGTTGCTTTGAGTCACCGATGACCAGTCCCTTCAGGGCAGGGGCCTGTCCCACTCAGCTTTGTCCTTTGTTTTCCTCACGTAGTGAAGACTTAGTAAATGGTTACTGGAACAAAATGAAAATAAAAAGAACCCTGAAAGTTATGATATTTTTAATGCTGTATTTTGAAAGGTTCAGGAGGCCTCCACCGGAGGATAGTGGCGATTAACCAACCCTCTTATTGTGCTTGAAATATATCAACTCAGTTTACCCTTAGAATAGCCTCATAGGCCTTGCCTCCACCTTATAAGCGAGGACACAGAAGCACAGAGTGGTTCAGTGATTTGCCCAAGGTCACACAGCCAGGATTCCAACCTAAGCTGGCTGGACTGGAGACGGCACTCCTAAATACCGTACTTCCCAGTCTCGACACCTCCCCAGTGCCAACTGGCCCCTGGGGTCTGGAATCCTACCACTGGCACATGTCCTCTTGCATCAGGCCCTTGCCAGTTAAATGAGTGCTCACCCAAAAGACATAACACGGCCAGTCGTGGTGAAACTTTGAGTAACTCCAGTTCTAAATAATTCCTGATCCCTGTGAGACTCCTTCCCAGGCCCTTGGTCCTCTCCTGATCTTCCCTCTGAAGTCCTTGAGCCTTAAGCAAGACACTATGTTGGCAGCAAATGCCGAGGAGGCTGTGTCCAGACTTCAGAGCACAGGCTTTGGATCCAGGCCAGCTGGGTTTGAGCCTCAACTTTTGTTGTTAACTAGCTTTATGGCCCAAAGAGTCACCTCTTCTAGTCTCAGTGTCCTGTTCTGTAATGTGAAGGTACTGACTGGTACCCTAGCATTGTTTACCGAAGGCCACTTAGAAGATTAAAACTTATTTACTTATTTATTTTAAAGGTTTATTTGAGAGCGAGCGAGTAGGGGAGGGGCAGAGAGAGGGAGAGAGAGAATCCCAAGTAGGCTCCACACTGCCAGCACAGATCATGACCTGAGTTGAAATAAAAAATTGGACGCTTACCTGACTGAGCCATCCAGGTGCGCCAGAAGATTAAAATTTAAATGAGGGGGTGTAGTCGCAAGGCTGTTATACATAATGCTTAACAAATTATGTTATTTTGTACTGATGGTGGTTGGTGGTAGCATTAGGGAGGGGAGGGAGTCTCTGAGCAAGGTGCCCAGAGGAGGGTGAGTTGGTTTAACCACCATGGATTGTTCTGCTTAGTGCCACCTCCCCCAGGAAGCCCTCCCTGATGAACCCAGTCCACACTGCTCTCTCCCTCCAGTGAGCCACCCCCCTAGCCACATGATATCACGGATAGTCTTTGTGGACAGACTCACAGTGTCAGCCCCATCTCCTCCGCTGGATCATAAGTACCTTGAAAACAAGTTGTTTTCTCCTCTTGAATCCCCACACTGAGCTTGCTCATTTGTCAAGGCAAGGAAGGAATCAGCAATAGTGCTAACAATGCAGGCTCCTACTCCCGAGTTAGTCCTTTGTGCCAATCATGGTGCTAGACACACATGCACAAATTTTCCTTCTAATTCCCACAGCACTACCATGAGATAAATATCATCATCGGTCGTATTTTACAGAGGAAGGAACAGGCTCAGTGAGATTAAAGAGCTGCTCAAGTGGAACAGCTGGGACTGGAAGCCAGGCTTGTCCTACTTCTAAACCCAGGCTCCACTACCAAGGAGAGGGTGGCGGGTGCTTGAATGACAGGCAGGCTAACAGGTGAAGAGCGCCCTCTATTGAGCATCTTTGCGAGATGAAGGCAGAAGAGAAGCTGGGGGAGCAGCGCCCCAGTTGTCAGACCCCAGAAGGGGGCCCTGAGGGAACAATCAGCCCCTGTAACTCACGACGACATTCCTACAAGAAATTCCTACACCGTGAATCGGAGTGTCCTCAGTAGGGATGAGTATGTGTGGATCAATTTCTCAGATATTGATGCCCCCTGATGGGGGAAGGAGCCCAAGGAGACCCTAGATGGGGCATCATCAGTCCCCGTGTGGGTGGAATCTTGTCTTCTTGTTCTCCTATCGCGTCCTCAGCTTCTTAAACAGCACCAGGCTGGTTGAACGAGGGAATAAGTGAATGCATGAATGAGAGGATTCTTTTCAGTCATCTCTCTCTCTCTCCCCCAGTATTAAGCTGGCCACCATGAGCGCCATGTCTGTGCTCATTTCAGCGGGTGCCGTTCTAGGCAAGACCAACCTGGTGCAGCTGGTGCTGATGGCACTGGTGGAGGTGACAGCCTTTGATGTCATGAGGATGATCCAAAGGAAGTACTTCATTGTGAGTAACAGCGCTGCGAGGAGGGGACTTCGGGGAGGAGGGGTCAGGAGGTGTGGGGGGTGCGGAACACCACCTCCATTTGGTGGGTTTTCTGGGATTAAAACAAAATACAGGCCCAGATGGGGGTCCAAAGTGTGGTCTATGCTAAACGTTTAAACATAGCAACCTAATGGCTTTAACCAGAGGCGGTACAGTTGCTGGTGATGACAGGTCTAAGGTTTGACAGGGGATGTGGGTGACGGAAGTGTAATGCAGGAGAAAGATATTAGAAGAAAAAGGATCAAGGAACAGATAGAGGGAGTTGGATGGACCAAGATGATGACCTGGGGGAGTGATGGAGAGAAAGACTGTAAGGCAGGTGCTGAAATCCTCAGCGACCAAGAGGCAGGTAGGTAATCAGCAAGGAGCATAGCGTCTGCTGGCAGGTCTTTTCAAGGGAGCTGGAGACATTTGGGGAGGGAAAAGGAACAGTTTAGAGTGGAAATTTAGATAGGAAGTTCTTACCATTTATTAATTTTCGGTTCTCCCCATCTGTCTATAGGACTTCATTTTAACCCCTACTTCAGTGTATATTTCCTATAAATAAGGGCATTCTATTACATAACGGTTGTTCAATTAACAAACTTTGGAAATTTACATTAACACAATATTATCTTATTCAAATTTCACCAATTTTCCCAATAACATCCTGTTACAGCCAAGTTTAAAAAATGTAAATATATATATATATATATAAAGTTTACATATATATAAAGTTTAAAGTTTATATAAATAGAAATATATAGTTTATATATATAAAGTTTAATATATATATAAAATATATATAAAGTTTAGTTTATATAAATATATAAATATATAAAAATATATATAATATTATATATAAAGTTTGAAAAGTTTATATACATAAAGTTAAAAATATATAAATATCGTATTTTTTTTCTTTTGGGTCCATGATCACACTTTCCATTCACTTCTCATGTCTCCTTAAACTTCTTTGATCTGGAACAGCTTCTCAGTCTTTATCTCTCATGAACTGGACATATTTCGAGGTTATAAGCCATTTATTTTGGAAGGCAGCTATGTTCACCACTATCTCACCAATACTGCACCTAAGCCAGTTATTTTGTCGAATGTGGCTTTGTGTAGTGTTTCCTCACGATTAGTTGAAGAATATGCATTTTTGGCAGAAATTACACGGGAGCGATGTTATGTCCTACTCAGTGCGAAGAATCAAGAGACACATGCTGTCAATTTGTCCCATTACTGAGGATGTTAACTCTGATCACCTGTTAAGATGATGTCTGCCGGGCTCTTCCACTGCAAAGTTACTGTTTTCCCCTTTATAATTAATAAACATCTTGTGGGAAGATAATACCCTGTTTCTTATCATGTTTTTCACACACTGATTTTAGCATGTTGATTTTTTTCTTTTGCCTGAAACAGTACGATGATTGCCAGTATTTTTTTTCTTTTTTTAAAAGACTTTAAGTAATCTGTTTACTTAAATTATGTATTAAATAATCTCTATTTAGAGATCTCTAATCTCTAAACCCCAAGGTGGGGCTCATACTTAGAACCCCAAGATCAAGAATCACATACTCTACCAACTGAGCCAGCCAGGCGCCGCCCCGCCCCCCCCCCCCGGGGGGGATTGTTTTTTCTGATTGCCTCTTCCCTTCCACACTCCTTAGTTACCGTTCTGCTGTAAGAAAGAACTTTCTCTTCTTCTCCATTCATGCGTTTATTTGCTTGTTTATTTATTTAGATCACTATGGGCTCAGGGATTCACCCAGGCATACTTCATTTTCTGTCGCTTCTCTCTGCTTACTACAAGGATTAATTCCCACCCCTTACTTTCAAGGAAGAAAATTGCACTGGAGCTTTTTTACACAAAACGAAGGGAATTTAACATAAGGACCACCAAGGGCAAGGGGTGGCAGCCAGTCTCAGGACTGGAACTGGATCTGAGGAGTCTTTAAGACCCCAGGCAGTTCACGCTCTCCATCTCTGGGTTCTGTTCCTCCCTGTACATCCAACTTCTGTGCACATCAGCTTTCTCTTTGGTGGAGACCACGTATCTCTCCTACCGCTCTTGTTCATGCGCCTCTAAGGCCCGGATCCTACAGGAAACAGCTCTCTTTGCTCTCAGCTAGTCCCAGGTCCACGGTCCAGTAAGATAGAATCTGATTGGCTCCCGCGGCCACATGTCTACTCTGGGCCAATCAGCTGCAGCCAGCGTAGGCGGTCACAGAGTAAACACGTGGCTAGTCAAGAGAAGGGTGAATTCCCAGAGCTGCAACGCGCGTTGTGTGCCGTCCTTTGTAAACCTGTGCCTGCTTTGCCAGGGTCCTCGTAATGATTGTTTTAAAAGGCCGCAGTTTTTCAAAGCCATCTCCTCTCCTCTCTTCTCTGCGGCTTTGAATCGCTAGGTGAGATGGTGCACAGGAGGATTTAGTACTGATTTTGAGAGGTGGCCGCTTCACCTCGGAACTTCAGTTCAGCCTGGGTTCTTGAGTGGAAAGACTCAGGAGGAAACCAGAGGCAGCAACCAGAGCTGTTTCAGTGGAGGCAACTCGAGAAATGGGTACAGTATTCCACGCCAACAATCCCCACTTGTGGTTCCTGGATTCCTGGGGGACCTCACACAGTTTTTACAAGGGACTATCACAGACTTTCGTTTTCATGTGTAAGTGAAATGTGTGAAGGTATCCTTCCCGTTCACTCGTTCATTTCACATGTCTATTCCATGTCTATTACGTACCGGGCGTCTTTTAGGCAATGCAACTGTTGGGGACCTTCCATTCCAGAGGGAAAGGCTGCCAATAAACCATCAAATAGGCAAACGGTATCGCGTGTTAGAGAGTGTTAAGTACTACAGAGAAAAAATAAAATGGGAAAGGAGATATGAAGAGTTGAAAGAGGGATAAAATGTTAACAAGGTGGCCAGGGAAAGCTTCCCTGGGTAAAAAAAAAAAAAAAAAAAAAAAAAAAATTGAGTAGAGACATGAAGGCAGCAAGTGTACAAGCCACGTGGGTGTCTGCGTATAAGGGCAGGTCAAGGGCAGGGCGGTGGGAGTGGCCTGCCTCTTCCAGGAGTATTTTATTGCCCACGCTGTTTAGAATTGTTGGCGCGTGGTGATAATAAAAAGACAGGCTTTTAATTGCTTTTATTATTGTTTTAAATTCTCTCCAGACAATGCACCCCCTGCCTGCCTGCACCCGTGGTGGCTCACTCCTTTCACCTGGCATTCCAGGCATTGGAAAAGCCAGCGTGAAGTGGGACTGACATGGGAGCATATCTGTGGGTTTGAGAAAGAGTGAGAGTGTGTCAGGAGTGGAGCAGGAGGTGAAGCCGGGGAGGTTAGGGAGCGAGCAAGTCACAGAGGGTTCTATAGGTCAGAGCAAGAACGTGGACGTGGACATTGAGCGAGACAGGAACCATTGGAAGATTCTGAACAGAGATGGCCATGCGCTGGCTGCCATGTGGAGAGGAGTCAGTAGGGGGACGGTGATTATTGCAATAATTTGGGGTAGCGGTGATGGTGGGGCCAGTGAGGCATGGTGGTAAAAACTCTGCCAGTTCTGGATATTTCTTTGAAGGCACAGTTGACAGGACTTACGAGTGGTCCACTAAGTGAGTTATTAAGGATGACTAACTTTGATGTTCATAAAGCAAACTTAGCGTATGTCTAGCATTTACTAAAGACTTTTAGTTCAGCATTATGAAGTCTGGCTGCTTTATGCTGCAAAATTTATATTGCTCACCTCTCCATCAATTCTGCCAAAAGTAGGAAGCAGTGGGGGCGCATGTCCATGTGGCTTTTTGCCTCACCTAAGTGGATCCCAGCCAAAAGCATGTAAGAGCTACTGATAAGGCCAACCAGCAATTTCCCTGGAATAAGTACATGGTTACTCCCAGGTCTCCTCTGAGAGGGGAGCTGCTGGGCTGGCTAAGCGCCAAACGCTGGTCTCATGACTCCCAAGTCACACCTTAGGGTGAAGCTCAGAACTGTCTCCCGGGGATTGGCCCATGGGCGGAGGCTGTGGGCATTCACTGCCTTTGTTGCAGAAGGACAACCACGTCAACATGATGCACATCCACGTGTTTGCAGCCTATTTTGGGCTGATGGTGGCCTGGAGCTTCCGGAGGCCTCTGCATGAGAGAGTGATGGAGAAAGATCAGACAGCAAAGAGCTCCAGTTTGTTAGGCATGCTGGGTGAGGACAAGGTGGGGTGGGGTGGGGTGGGGTGGGGGGTGGGTGGGTGGGCGGGGGGGTCTCACCCCTGGAGTGAGCCAGAGGTTCCCAGATGGCTCTGGGGAAAAATCTCTCTCTCCTTTACCAACCCACTCAGGGTCCTCGGAGCCCCTCCATGATGACTCATTTCCCTGAGTGGTGTTGAATGGATTCACAATCCCTTCTAGGGCAACGCCCTTCGTTAATATCCAGAGGAGAGGGAAGACTCATGTACTTGAGTTTAAATCAGTTTGCCCAATCCTTTTGTCCTCAAGTTAAGGGAGGGAAGTGGATTAGTGGAGAAAGCGGAGGCCAGCAGTGGAGAGAGGGACAGGGAGGGGAAGAGGACGGTCATCCTGGTGTATCCTGCAAAGCTGCAGCGGAAATGCTGAACCCTGACTCCCGGGAGAGGCTGGGAGGAAATCAGGCAGTGAGCTGGGCAGCAGGTGACCCAACAGCCAGCTATGAGGCCAAATGAAATTGGCACATTACGTTCTCAAAATAAGCATTGGGCCATCACAAGTCGGACTCAGGAGGCCTGGGGGTTGGTGATCTCAACTCTCTGGGCCTTAGGTTTTTTTGCTTGTAAAGTGTGTTAGTTGGGCCCTATCAACCTGAGAATTCAGAGGAGACATGACTTGCCCAAAGTCACATAGCTAGAAAGTGACCAGGCTGAGACTTGCCCACTCCAGGAAGCGCCCACAGGCTCAGGCTTTGGAGTAGGAGAGCTGGTTCTGGGAAGTGACCCTTTCTGGCCCCCAGGAACCCTCTTCTTATGGATATTCTGGCCGAGTTTCAACTCTGCTCTGCTGCTGGACTCTCCAAACGAAAGGAAGAATGCCATGTTCAACACCTACTATGCTCTTGCGGTCAGCGCGGTGACAGCCATCTCGGTGTCGTCCTTGGCTCACCCCCAAGGGAAGATCAACATGGTGAGGAGGGGGCTGTCCCTTGGGGAGCACTTGGGTCTTGCACGCTGGACACATCTTCACGCTTCCTGTCCCAGAGCTAGCCCCACTGGGTGACAGAGTCTTCTCTGCAGTGTCACGGAGCATCGGAGCATCGGGGAAGGGCACTGGCTTATCAAAGGGAACTACAGTGTAGAGACCATGAAATGATCAAAGGCTGTCTTCGGGGAGTGATTAAATCTATCAGTGTTGACATCAAACAGACATAAGTTTGAAACCTGTTTCTGCTAGTTACTAAAGCCAGCCACCATGAGGAAGAGTCAGCAGAGAAGAGCTAGAATAGAATCGGTCAGTCTCTCTCCTTCCCCTAAGAAATTTCTAGAATGGAATGAATAGAATCAGAGGTAAAGGAGTATGTTACTTTAGCCATGTGATCTTGGCTAAGCCACTTAAACCTTTGGAGCTACACTGGCTCATATGTGAAGAGGGACTTACAAGAACATGCTCATAAAGTGCTCCGTGGCAAACATCACTGGCTATTACCAATGTGGCCAGGGAGTCTGTGTGTGTGAGTTTGGGGGGGGAAGAGACATGTGAAGAGGTAGAGCTAAAGACAAAACGGTTTCCCATGAAGATCAGGTATGGGGCCAACCAGCCAGGGGACATGGGAAAAAGTCTAGAGAGACAGCAAGGCCTGGGGTGGACAGAATGTGGCCATCCATGACAGGTTAAACACTAAGAGGCATGAGTGTCCTTCTGGGGGAGCCCATGGTGACAGGGAGTCTAGGCTCAGACAAGGGGGGGACATCTAGGGAGGCAAGTGTGGCCGGAAGGTCAGAGAAGCCAGAAGCTGGTCCCAGGGCCCAGATCTCCCAAGACCTGGTTTGAGTGGAGGGGAGCAGAGGGAAGTAGCAAGAACCCACCCTGTTCTAGAGGAACAAAGGACATAACCGAAATGTGACCCAGGAACAAGGACTAGCTTTTTTTTTTTTTTTTTTTTTTTTTGAGAGAGAGAGAGTGCGTGCGTGGGGGACAGAGAGGGAAAGAGAGAATCCCTAGCAGGCTCCACACCAGCAGCGTGGAGCCCAACATGGGATTCGTACTCGTGAACCTCAAGGTCACGACCTGAGCCGAAATCGAGAGTCGGATGCTTCACTGAGCCACCCAGGCGCCCCACAAGGGCGCGCTTACTGACGTTAGGTCCAGTGGTACAGAGTGGCAGAACCACTAAATAGCCAATAATAATGATACAAATAGTAAAAGCAATAATGATGGGTTATATTTCTTGAGCCTTTACTCACGGTCCCTGCTAGCTAGGCCCTGGGCTCAGAGTTGTACATGTGGTAACTCATTTAATCTTACCGTAACCGTATTACGTAGGTACTGCTAAAACTCCATTCTTCTGGTGGAAAAGCTGAAGCACGAATGCTTAGGTGGCCAAAGACACATCACTAACAAGCGCGAGGGTGACTGGGATGCGCTTTGAAGTTCAATGCCTCCCAGTCAGGTTGCCTGCCCCCTGAGCCTGAGAAGTGGAGTAAGATTAAGACAATTGATGAAGGTCATGGACTCTCAAGGGAGAGGAGGGGGTGTGAAGCAGGGAAGATATTACGGTGTTGCCTGCTACCAGCTTACCAAGCAACCCTGGGCGAGATGTTGTCCTCTCTGTGCCTCGCTTCACTCGCCCACGAGCTGTTTCTTTGCAGAATCATGTCCACAATGCGGTACTGGCCGGAGGTGTGGCTGTGGGTGCCTCGTGTTATCTGATCAGCTCTCCTTGGCTTGCCATGGTGCTGGGCCTTACGGCTGGACTGATCTCCACCGGAGGAGCCCTGTGCCTGCCGGTAAGAACTGGGCAACCAACACCCTGATGTGCCGTAGACCAGCAGGGCCCCGGGAGCATGGTGGGGCCATGCAGTGCCATGGGCTGCATTAGGCAGGCACGGGCACCTTCTCAGGCTGGCTTCAAAGCTTGGGTGAGATACCCACCCAGGTCGGATGGGACATTTGTTAGGATCTGGGGAGCAACTAACAGAATCCACTCAGGTTTGCTCAGGCATGGGGGGGATATTAGAATATGCTGCTGGGAACCCAAGAATGGCTGACACCAGGGACAGGAGTGTTGTAAGGAGCCCAAGAAGTCCCAGCGCTTCTTCTTTCTTTGCTTCTCCTGAATATCCGCTCTAACCTCACTCTGTAGACTTCCTTCCCCCTCTTCTTCTCCTACCCACATGGTGGAATGTAGTCTTGCTCTTCGGGAAAGCAGCCAGGTAGAATCTCTCGGCCCTATACCCAAGTGTTCTGGAGAAGGGACTCCTTGGTTTAGCTTGGACAGCGTGCTTATCTTGGGCTGGGGTGTAGGGGGGGCTGGAGCGTAACATACATACGTGGCCGCTGCCCATGAGCCACATGAATGAGGGGGGGAGGGCAGCAGCCAGAAGAGGGACGCTGGGCCAATCCGGGCCATGTCCACTTCTGATTGTTTAGTTCTTCTAAGCAGATGGACTTTTCTTCCTTCCATACTCAGCAGTTACTAATAATGCCCGGATACCCCATAATAGCCACTTTGTTCTAATACGCTTCTAAGAGAAATATTTAGGAGCAACAACCCTTCATGGGTTTGAAGGCTTGGGAGGAGAAAAAGGAGTAGATTTTTAAAAAGCTGAACTTGGATGAACAGTGGATATTCCGGGAGGCAGTTTCAATCCAAGATAGGGGAAAACGTACCGACAATTTGATCTGACCAGCCGTGAGTAGTCTGCTCTTCACCTTTGGAACTGGAATAAATGTCTTGCAGCTCTTCTGCTCTGAGGCCCGATTCTGAGAGGAGGAGCATACAGCCAAAAACTGCGTAACGAGTTCTCATCAGGCTGGGTGTCCGTTGCTTCCTCTAGGCCTGTTTCCTTGACTCTGTCACTGGGGGAATGATTCAGAGATGATTCACTCCTTCGTTCGTTCGTTCATTCAGCGTGTATGTTTTCACATTGATCCTGCTTCCCGGGCTGTAGGGCAGTGAGGGAAATGGACAAATGAACACACAACCACGTGGCAGCTGCTGCGAAGCCCATCTAAGCCAGCCTGGGACGGATCAGGAAATGCCTCCTGGAGCAGAGGGTGTCTCAGCCACATGTTGACAGATGACTAATATTAGCCAGGCAAAGCGAGGGGCAACGTATTCCAGACAGAAGGCACAGTGTGTTCAAAGGCTCAATGGTGAGAAGAGACACCAAAGCATTGAGCTCACCTGGGAGTGTGGTGGCACCACAGTCTTGAGAGACGAGAGATACTCAGGTATATCCCCTGGGCAGGTTGAGGAGTCTGGGTTTTTATTCTGACGGCAAAGGGGATCCTCAGGAGGGAACTGGCCTGTCTAATTTGCATTTGTATCTAATTTGCATCTGTCTAATTTGCATTTGTATGTTGGCTCATGGTCCTCTGGAAGGCTTAAGCAGCAGAGGGGAAGGAGTGGTGAGGATAAGTCTGGAGGGGTGGTCACATTCTTTTCTTCTCATTAGCCATGCTGTCTTTGGGGTGGCGGTTAAGTTTGGACTAGACCAGTGGGTCTCAGTCACCCACCATCGTCCCCTCCAGGGACGCTTGACATTATGCGCGGACATTATTTGGTTGACACACTGTGAGGGGATGCTCCTGGCATCTAGAGGGAGAGCCCAGGGATGCTGCTTCACGTGCTACGACACACAGGACGGACTTTTCACAACACAGGGTCATCAGGCCTGCGCTAGACCCTTGCTTCCCAGAGGCTGGTCAGTGGGCCCGTAGCCTTGGCATCACCCGCAACTTTGTTAGAAATGCAGAATCTCAGGCCCCAGGCTCACCGTATCTACCTCTGCGGTCTAACAAGCTCCCCACGTGATGCCCGGGCACCTGCAGGTCCGAGACGCGCTTCCGTAGGGGAGCCCCAATGCCTACCCCCTTAGGGTGGCCCTGGAGGCCAAGGATCTGTGGAAAACCCGGGGGGAGAGTCCCAGTCCTGCACGTACATCTGCTTATGTGACGCTTGTTCTAGATGTATTTTAACCACGTGCTGGGGATCCACGACACCGGTGGCGTGTACTACACCTTCGGCTTGCCGGGGCTCCTCGGAGAGATCGCCCACATCGTGCTGATCACGTATCAAGTCGACCAGACCAAGAGTGCCATGTGAGTCACTCGGCTCGTCCCCTTCATGCCCCCATTCAGCTCGGGGTGAAACGCGCCCCCCGCCAGCGCCCTTCGCTGAGGCACACGTGTTCAGAGCCGGGCACTCAGCAGGCCTTAGCAAATATTTGTCGGCAGATGGATTAGTAAACCCTGCAGAGCCCCTACCTCTCCAGGCCGTGGCTGCTTTCCAGGAAGGACAGCTTAGGGGCGGGGCAAAGGCAGACAGGTGTGAGGCTCCCCCAGATGACCTGACAGAGCAGGTCCATCAGGCCAAGCCAGCCGAGTCTGTTTTACAGCCGCTGGTGGTTTGGGTCTCGGGGAAGATTGTGTTGTGCAGTCGGACTTGTTCTGACCTTGTACCAGCAGGCACGCTACCTGATCTCTCTAAGCCTCATTGCCTGATTATGAATGCAGACACTGATGGCGCATTCCCTCCTAGGGTTGTTGGAGGCGACTTGAGGCCAGGCGCCTTGTGGTTAAAAGGATTTAATACTTTTTTCTTAAACATTTTTTTAATGTTTATTATTTTTGAGAGAGAGAGAGAGAGAGAGAGTGCGCGCGCACAAGCGAGGGAGGGGCAGAGAGAGGGGTAGATACAGAATCCAAAGCAGATTCCAGGCTCTGAGCTGTGAGCACAGAGCCCAATGCGGGGCTCGAACCCATGAACCACGAGATCATGAGCTGAAGTCGGATGCTCGACCGACTGAGCCACCCAGGCGCCCCAGGATGTAATACTTTCATGTAAGAAAACACTAAGCACAACCCTCCCTGAGGCCTGGGGAGAGGAGGAGCTTGGCCAAGGTCTCACTGTGAGGCAGGAACGTGGGTCTCCGGACTCGGCTCAGATCCTATGTCCTCCAGACAACGGATGGCGGCGACTAGTTTCACATACCCGAGCCCTGGCCATCACCTCCCGGGGCTTGCGTGACTATCTTCCAGGCATGGTGCACATAAAATGAAAAAGTGACTTGGGCATGATACGGGGATAGGTTTTTCCGGATGAACTGATATAGTGATCGCAGTAATAGTACTGATAACAATCGCCGCTGTTGATTGACAGCTTTCTAGGTGCCAGGCACTCACTACGCGAAAATCATCGTATGCATCATCTCATGGAATCCTCACGACCACCCTGTGAGGTATTATCATATTCCAAGAAATGATACGTGTGGGGTAGTGATCTGCCCTAAGTCACTTGGCTGGAGCCCATCTCCAGGTGGGGAGACACCTCACTGGGGCTCCGATGGTGTGTCTGCCACTGTTTTAACAGCTGTGCAACTCAGCAAATCCTTTCCCCTCTCTGGGCCCCTGAGTCCCCTCTGTAAAGCTCAGGTGCCTGCTGGGGCCGGGCCGATAAGGTCAAAAAATGGGAGCAGCGAGGGGAGGCTGGAAAACAGTGGGAAGTTGCTCCTCAGCACCAGGCCACCATAACTGCGCGGGGACCAAGGCTCAGTGTCCCCAGATGTGACTTTTCAAGAGAAGCCAAAACTCCAGAGCTATGCACCTACACTCCCAAGCATCGGCAAAAGATTCAAAATCGTCAAGACACATCGTGTGGGCCAAATTCTGCTCCAGGGCGGCCAATCTGTGACTTCAGAGCCGCCGGCCCTTCTAGCTTCCTAAGTCTGTGATTCTGTGGCTCTCCTAGAGCAGTAAATCCTACCCTACCCCAGACCTGCATGGTTAGAAATCTGGTGATGAGGTAGGCGCCTGGGTGGCTGTTGCTTTTAAGTGCTCAACTCCTGATTTCGGCTCAGGTCACGATCCCGGGGTCATGGGATCCAGCCCGGCGTGGGGCTCCCCGCTCAGCACAGAGCCGGCTTGAGATTCTCTCCCCCGCCCCCATCTCTCTTCACCCCGCAAAATTTAAAGAGATCTGGCGATGGGAGCCCGGCAATCTGTCTTCCACCCAGCCCTCTAGGTGATTCTCCCATAAACCAGTTGGAGACCGCTGGCCTGTAGCGAAGAACAGGAAAACAAAGGCCGGTTGACCAATGGGGTGCTGCTAAAGGGTTAACAAACAAAGCCCTGACTGCAGTGGTACAAATACTCCCTTCTGTGGCCAATTGCAAGCCATCAAGGGGCTGTCACTGAGCGGGTACACTTAGGAAGGGTTGAGAACACGGCCTGTGCACCCACCCTGTGAGCGGGCTCTAGCACACCTCTGTGAGTCAACTCTGACTGCAAAACCTTATCACACGCAGGGACCAGGCAGCAGAGAGAGGGAGAGAGGGTCTGGAACTGAGACTATGTCTTTGGGTTTGTAGTGGTGGGGTAATGAGTGGGGGGAGGTCTCCGGCTGGGCAGGAAGAGAAAGCATATATTAGAGTTTGTGCTTGGGCGGGTTATAATATGAATTTTGCACTCCCGTGAAAGCTGACTGGTGGAGAGAGAGGAGTAAACAATTTCAGCTGTTAGTTGGGCCCAGTGATAAATGAGTGCCAAGTAGACAAATACTGAATCCAAGAAACACAGTTAAAATCAGTGTTCTATTGTATGAATGCAGCACAATTTATGTATCCACTACTGATGAGCATTTGGGTTCTTTCCAGTTTGGAGCTATTACGAATATTCTAGTGTTGCCGCCATGAACATTCTAGCACTTTTTTTTTTTTTTTTTTAGAACATACAAATGCACTTCTGTTGACCAAATGCCTAGAAGCAGAATTGTTGGATCGCAAGCAGAATTGTTGGATCACAGTATTCCCGTGATCCCTTTTAGAGGAAACTTCCAGTTTTCCACCATAGTCTGTGCCGTTTTCTTCACCTGTGGCACCCGAGAGTTCCCCTTACCCTATATATTCTCTAACACCTCATGTTTTTCTTCTTTTTAATTTTCTCCATTTAGGCATCAAACTTCTCTTTTTTTCTTTTAAAGTAGGCTCCACACATGGTGTGGAGCCCGACGCAGGGCTTGAGCTCACAACCCTGAGATCAAGACCTGAGCTGAGATCAAGAGTCAAACGCATGGGGCGCCTGGGTGGCGCAGTTGGTTAAGCGTCCGGCTTCAGCCAGGTCACGATCTCGCGCTCCGTGAGTTCGAGCCCCGCGTCAGGCTCTGGGCTGATGGCTCGGAGCCTGGAGCCTGTTTCCGATTCTGTGTCTCCCTCTCTCTCTGCCCCTCCCCCGTTCATACTCTGTCTCTCTCTGCCCCAAAAATAAATAAAAACGTTGAAAAAAAAAAAAAAAGAGTCAAACGCTTAACCAGCTGAGCCACCCAGGTGTCCCTAGGCATCAAACTTTCTCATTTTATTATTATTATTTTAAAAATGTTTTTAATTTTTAAATGTTTATTTATTTTTGAGAGAGAGAGAGAGAGAGAGAGCACACATGAGGGAAGGGCAGAGATAAAGGGAGACACAAATCCAAAGCAGGCTCCAGGCTCTGAGCTGTCAGCACAGAGCCTGATGTGGGGCTTGAACCCATGAACGAAGAGATCATGACATGAGCCAAAGTCGGGCACTCAACAGACTGAGCCACCCAGGCACCCCATCTATTATTATTACTTTCTTTTTTAATGTTTATTTTTGAGAGAGAGACAGAGAGCATGAGCTGGGGAGGGGCAGAGAGAGAGGGAGACACAGGATCCGAAGCAGGCTCCAGGCTCCGAGCTGTCCGCACAGAGCCCGACGCAGGGCTCGAACCCACGAAGTGTGAGATCATGCCCTGGGCCGAAGTCAGATGCTCAGAAGTCAGATGCTCAGCCGACTGAGCCCCCTGGGTGCTCCTAGGCATCAAATTTATCATTTTCTTATTATTTTCTTACTGTTTATTTTTCAGAAAGAGAGATCACACGTGTGTGAGCACTAGTGGGTGAGGGACAGAGAGAGGAGACAGAGGATCCAAAGCAGGCTCTGTGCTGACAACAGACAACCCTATGTCGGGCTCGAACTCAAGAGCCGTGAGATTGTGACCTGAGCTGAAGTTGGATGCTTAATTGAGCCACCCACTCAAACTTACCATTTTAATTTTAATTTCCCTGATAACTGATTAAATAGGGCACGTTTCATATGCTTTTTGGACATTTGATTATCTTCTTTTGTGAAATGTCTCTCCAAGTTCTTTAGTTCTTTTGCCCATTTTTTTTTGTTGTTGTTGTTGTTGTGCTGTTCTGTCTTTTTCTTACAGATTTGTAGGAATTCTGGTTATAGAGCCTTTGTCACATACATGTGTCATGAATATCTCGCATTTTGTAGGTTATCTTTTGCCTTCTTAATGGTGTCTTTTGATGAACAGAAGTTCTCCATTTTAATACAGTTCAATTTATCATTGTTCCCTTTACATTTGCATGTTCTGTTTAAGAAATGTTTCTCTATTGTAAGGTCATATAGATGTCCTGCTAGGCCACTTAGTAGTTTAAAGCGAGGTCTCGGGGTTGTCTTGAAGGAGGGAGGACAGGGAAGTATGTTCAACAGGGGTGGGCAGGGGAGATGAGCCTTATAGCCAAGCTATGCTCTGCGTTGCCCTGATGGAAAGAGAACTCATCTTTAATTGCCTATGAGGAAACCTGGGGCTCAGAAAGGTTAAGTGACTTGCCTAGGATTATGCAGCTAGTGACAGTCCTTGAACATGAACCTGGGCTTTCTGCCTCCTGATCGAGTTCATCACCCATGGGTTCTGAGAATTGAAGTAAGCCGAAGAGGATCTTAGAATCCCCCCCTTCCGTTCTTACATGTCTGTGTGGCTTTGCGGGAATGTGACAGGGGAATGTGTTGCCAGGGGAGAGGACGTTTGTTCTTCTGGTAGCCCTTTCTGACAGCATCATTACTGATGCAGACAGTCCTTTTTGATCTCTGCAGTCTGATGCCTGAATGTGACTGTATTCTGCTTTGTCATTTCTAGGATTAACTACCAGTTGCTCTTGGACATTGGGGCACTGAGCTTGGCCATGGCTATGGGTCTGCTAATTGGTCTTTTGACAGGTAAGTATGAGACCACCCTTCTTCCCCATGGTGCAGGGCACAGGCCCCAGGGCCAGAGTGCACCTGCCCCATGGCTGGATGTGTATACCCATCCCCTTCTCTGTGAACCCCCTCAGCTCCGGCCAAATGAGGCAAAGCACTCAGACCTTGATTAACAACAACAAGAGAATCACATCATTTCAGCATGGGAAAGGCCCTCAGAGGCCGCTTGCTGTAGGTGTGGACTCTGAGGGCCAGAGAAAGTTAAGAGACTTTCCTGAGGTTGTAAGTAGGGGTGAGTGGCGACACTGCAACCTTGTGAACCCAGGGCTGGTGGCTTCACCCAATTTTGTGCATAAAGCCAAGGAAACCCTTAGGCCAAAAAGCTTACCTTTATTCCCTGAGAATACTCAAAGTATTATTTCGTTCAGCAAATATTTATTCAGTATCTACTATGAGCCAGACACTATTCTTAGGCACTAGGGACACAACAGTGAACAAAACAAGTTCCCTCATCCCATGGAGTTGATATTCTAGTGGGGGGGGGCAATAAATAAACGAAGAAGTAGAGTATTTGCTATGTCGGAGACTCAGGGTACAGGAGCATAGAGTCAGTGTGAGGGTGGGGTACTCTTTTAGAAGGGGATGAAGGGTGAGGCCCCTGGGTGGCTCAGTGGGTTAAGTGTCTGACTCTTGATATCTGCTCAGGTCCTGATTTCATGGTTGTAGGATCCAGCCCTGGGTCAGGCTCTGTGCTAAACGTGGAGCCCGCTTAGGGATTCCCTCTTTTCTCCTCTCTCTCTCTGCCCCTCTCCTGCTCGCACTCTCTCTCTTTCTCAAAATAAATAAACATAAAAAAAAAAAAGCATGGGAAGGAAAGGTCTATCTAATAAGTTGACCTTTAAGCAGAAACCTGAACAGAGAGAGGGAACAAGACCTACCACCCACGTGTTTATTTGGCAGAAGAGCATTCCATGAAAAGGGATAGCAAGTGCAAAGGTCCTGAGGCAGGAGCAAAGAATGCTCGGGGTGGCTGATATGGATATAGTGAAAGGGAGAGTGGGAGGGGTTGAGAACAGAGTGGTAATAAGGAGCAAGATAATTCTGAGATGGGAAGCCATTAGAAATCTTTAAACAGAGGATTGAAGTATGCTTTTGCTCCTGCAATATGACAGAATAGCGAAGAACCTCAGGGAGTTACTAATTTGCCAGTCTTGTTTATATGCTAGGTGAAAAGATGCTTTCTGTCCAGAACTGCTCACCTTTATTCAACAAGCAAACAGCTTTATTGGTTAGACATTCATATATTGTTTCCCTAAGCAGGGAATGAATGCCAACTAAGAGAGAAAATAGCATTAACAGACGTAAAAGAGTTGTATGGCCTTGGGCATATCGGTTTACTCTCTCTGAGCCTGGGCCTTGGGAGGCTTTTCTGTAAAATGAAAGGACCGTGGTAGCTGATCATTGGGCTTCTTTTATGCTCCAAAGCAAATATGAAGGTACTTTTTGGAATTGCCTGGGTGATTTTAGACAGCAAGACTGACTAGAGTCACTTTAATATACCAACTGGCCTCAACTTTCATCAGAGTCGAGGAGATTAAATACAGATGAGAAAAATGCCTCCCTCTGTAAGTTTGCGTTCCATCTGTGGTGGCAGTCCAATCCTGAGTAGGGTTACCAGATTTAGCGAGTGAAAATACAAGGCACCCGTTTTTTAAATTCAAAATTAACTGAGCATCCTAGATTACTTTATCTGGCAACCTTCACCCGGACTATGACACCATTCACCATCGTCACCAGTATTCACAAAATGACACTGATGTGCACTGTCTTGTAAAACCCCTGGGAGGGCCTTTTTTTTAATGCTTCACTGGAGTCAAAAAAGAAAATGGAGGAAAAGACACTCACAGTGTTCCTTTAGGAGTCAAGACCAATGAGCGTCCGTCTTTCCATGTAGCTTTGAACATAGGAAAGCTGGTGAATAAGAAAAACGTGAACAATGGAAGGGGAAAGAGGCCACTAAGCAGCCAAGATAGCACCGGACTCCCTAAAGCCAAGCATTTCACTTGTCAAGAGGCCCCTGATTTGGGGCCTGTCTACATTTACTTAAGAAACAATCCTGTGGGGGCACCTGGGTGGCTCAGTTGGTTAAGCGTCCAACTTCGGCTCAGGCCATGATCTCACCATTCATGAGTTCAAGCCCCGCATTGGTCTCTGTGCTGACAGCTCAGAGCCTGGAGCCTGCTTTGGATTCTGTGTCTCCCTCTCTCTCTGCCTCTTCCCTGCTTATACTCTCTCTCTCTCGCTCTCTCGCTCTCAAAAATAAATAAACAGTAAAAATTTTTTTTAGTAATACTAAAAAAAAGAAACGATCCTATCAAGCATGGTTATTGGGTTTCTGAATTCAGGCAGATTAGAAATGGCAGGTTAGAGGTGGGATAGTTTTCTCGAAGTAAGGCACACTGGTAGAAGTTAGAGGTCAAAGTAGACAGCCTAACAGAAGAAAAGAAATTCTTTAAGCCAGACACTAGAACATGTAAAGCTTGGGCTGCTGAGAGAAGAAGCCAACAACCCCAACAGCTATATACTTTCTCTGCATTATATAGTGCATTTCATAAATGGATGTTCCTAGCAATATTTCCAATTTAAAAAAAAGTCTAACTGTGTTTACTATTGTCTCATAAGACACAAAAATATAGCATATTTTGAATGGATTTTCATCAGCTATCTGGAAAGTTCATGTAGGTGTTAGAGATCGTTTCTGAGTAATTCTAGCTAAATGAAGGGTGCTGGTTGCCTCCTACATGCCAATATCAGTTAAAGGTGTGCCCTACAAAAGGAAAATGTGACTAAGTACATGCCTACTCTTGTTAATCTTAATATTTAATGCATGAGGGCCGATCATCATTAAAAATACATAGATAAGGGGCGCCTGGGTGGCTCAGACAGTTAAGCATCTGACTTCGGCTCAGGTCATGATCTCACAGTTCGTGAGTTTGAGCCCTGTGTCAGGCTCTGTGCTGACAGCCTGGAGCCTGCTTCAGGTTCTGTGTCTCCCTCTCTCTCTTTCTGCCCCTCCCCTGCTCATATTCTGTCTGTCTCTCAAAAATAAATAAACATTAAAAAAAAAAGAAAAAAGGCGAGCAATCACTTCATGTATCCTGGGAAATTCGGCCAACTTTGTGCAGCTGGAGGAAGGCACAGGGCCAAGGTCTCTGGGCAGGGGTGAGATGGGTGGAGAGAAGAGTAGGCACAAAAGCAAGTTGGTATAAACTACTTTCCTAACTAACAAGTGGAATCTTGAGCTGAGGTCATGGAGAGTTTATTGGAGCTGGTGACGCAGGACCTACAGGGCCACCTAATTGGAGTTGCTGTCCATGGTAGTTCCTGTGTTCTTAAAGGATCCACTTTTAGGTAGGGGCACCATGTTCTATTCCATCTTGGGAAGCATGTCAGATCCGTGGCTATTGCATACCTCTCACTGTCATCTTAATCCTTTGGAGATATAATTGCACTTGCCAGTTTCCTTTAAAAGGTGTTTATAGAATTAACTAAGCCGGTCCAGGAAGGACAGCACTCCAATTTGTCTGTCTCCTGGTTGTAGAAGAAAAAGGGATTTTTGTGGAGATAAGCATGCCTGGCATAGGATATATTTATTAATTTTGAGATAACAAACGCTGTGCCCTAACTGTTTAGCACGTAATTTTGAATTTTAACAGGTTTGGTCTTAAACCTCAAAATATGGAGAGGACCTCATGTATCTAAATATTTTGATGACCAAGCTTTCTGGGAGGTAAGATTTTTAACCTAATGTCATAGATTTTGAGTGAATGAACTCAAAAAGATATCTGGTATATCTGTTTATAGGTCGACCTGGTGTTTGGAGAACAAAATAAAAACAAAATGTGCGTGTGTGTGTGTGTATACATGTGTTGGTGAGGGCTGGGGAGGTGGTAAAGGTTACCATTTCCCTGATGCCGCAAGGTCACTGAAGGTCAGAGATGTGAGAATGGCCGCTGGCCACACTTCTCCCGTCTGGAGTCATCAAGGTGGGCAAATAGTTTGACAAGAAGGTGATAGAATCCTGCAAGGCAAGGGCCAGAAGGCCTGCAGGGGCCAACAAATCTATTCCCCTCATTTGACAGACACACTGAGTGGAACCATGACTGTTCAAGTTCCGAGCGAGTGTGAGGCACAGCTTGATCTAGAACACAGCTCTTGATAAATTATAGCCAGTGGACACAAGAAAACTTATACTGTAGGAGTCCGGGATCATTTAGCCAAAGAACAGAGAGCTCAAGCAATGCAGCTGCTGCTGTGGGTCTCTGTGTTCCGTGTCGCATTTGTTCTCATGACTAGGCCAGAAAGAGGGTCAGGGCTCATTTCCTGTCATCCTCCCTTTGACCTACACTCTCACATTTCACTAAGAACTCTGATATGTGTAGGACGTCTGGGTGGCTCGGTTGGTTAAGAACTTTGATACGTGTCACCTTAGGTAACTTCCATTTGATGCTGAGGTTGAGTGGGCAAACATCGCAAAACTATAAATGGGAGGTTGGGGCTGACAGAGGTCAGGCTAACGCCCAACATCATGCCATTGTGAGTGGCAGAGACAGGAACCAGGCCTCCTGAGTCCCAGGCCGATCCTTTCTCCACCTGCCATGCCAAGATACTGATCACGAAAGGGACAGAGAACCAGCCTCATAATGGATGGGCCTTGGCATTAGCATTTGTAGAGGCAAAAAGGAGAACCGGCCTCTTGTCCTTTTCCTCCCTTCTTCATCGCTTCTCTTTCCTTCTCTTCCTCTTCAAACAGCTTTATGGAGGTGTAACTGACAGCAAACACATATTTAAAGTAATATAATTTGATACATTTAAACATATTTATATGCCCATAAAACCGTCACCACCATGTTTCCTCATGCCTCTTTGAAACTACTCCCTCCCCGCTCCACCCCATTCCGTCCCCAGGCAAACACCTAACTGCCTTCTGTCCAATAGATTGGTTTACATTTTCTACAGTTTTATAAAAACGAATCACACGGAACATTCTTTGGCATCTTTTCGCCAGCGTAATTATTCTGAGAGTCACCCATGACGTGGGTGCTTGTAAAGCGTCTCATCTCGTACCAGCTTTTCCCTCCAGCTGGTCTCTCCCAGTCCCTGCAAGGGTTCCTGCCCCTCTGGCGGCAGCAGGGTGATCTAGTGAGTTACTCAGAAAACTGGTTTAATCCAGCCATTCATTGGGCAAGTATTTATTGAGCAACTACTATACGCCAAGCATTCTGCTGATTAACCAGATATGCCGCAAACAGGACAAATGTCCAGCTCAATTATTTGAGTTGCAATAAATATTTGCTAACTAAATGGGGGAAATCTGAGGAACCCCGCCTCACACTGGCCACTGCGGCAGTGGGCGAGATGGAACAATGAATGGAGACCAGTTCTGCAGGGTGTCACATAGGCCAGTTTCTCAACCTCTCTTACTGGTAAAATAAGGATGGTAATCTTTGTTCTACCTCACCAGGTTGTTTGGGAGACCAAACGAGAGGTAATAATGTCCGTAACTACATTCTGTAAAATGCAAAGCAGCACATGAATGTGAAACGAGGGGTTAACCAACCACAAAGGAATGCGTAAGCCTAATACTTATCGTTTATCGTAAGCCTCCGGTGTCCGATTTTGTGCTAGATGCTTTTCAACATTATCTGACTTTTATCCTCGCAATAACTGTGCCCAAGAGTAAGGATCCCAGTCTCGAAGATGAGCAGTAACTTGTCCAAAATGATAGAGCTAGTAAGTAAATGGAAAAGGAGGAATTGAACTGGTGTCTGGCTCTGAAGACACAGCACGTGTGTGTGTGTGTGTGTGTGTGTGTGTGTGTGTGTTGTGGGCAGTTGCTGGAGGACAGTCACTTCTCGCCCCGCTATTCTGATTTAGTTTCTTACAGCTGAGTAGAGCCATTTACTCAGCAGTGTAACACAGCTTTCATTTGAAAAGCCAAATATCCATTAAAGAGGCAAGAATTCAAACTTCCAAAGCTGATAAATCCAGGGGTGATTTTTTTTTTTTTTTTTTTTTTTTTGTAAACCATCCAAAAAGGATTTTAAACATTATTGAATCTCCTAATGCACTTCAGGGAACCAGACTCCTGGGGGTTGGAAGGGACATTCCTCTGCTGGTTGCCCAGACCATGCCTGGAGGTTTGGGGGTTGGGGTACTCGCTATTCCCCAGAGGTCCCCCATCTCATCCTCGGATGGTTCTATTACTAATTGATCATTTATTCACTAATTAATTCCATTTAAAGTATTACCTGATCTATGACAGAGCTCTTGGGTGGAGAGCCAGGGAGACGAATCTAAACAAAATACAGTTCTAGGTCTCAAGAAACTGCATATACTAATCCCCTGTCTTCCTGTAGATGACAATAATCCTAACTCAGATACTGATTTACAAAAATTCAGTTCATAACGCAAGATTTCATGTGGCTTGTGCCTTCACTAAGAGAGTAAATTCCTTCCTTCAACTTTTAATTTCAATAACCCATGGATTTTATTTTGTGCTTTCCAAAGCACAAGGACTCACTGACATCCACTTATTCAAATTAATCCCACAGTTAACCTTTCTGCAGAAAATAGCTTTGTTGGGAGTCTGCCGCAGGCAAGCCCCTGTTCTGGGTACCGTGGGGGAGGAGGGCATCTCAGAGAAACTAGGGCTTTCACCCCTTGGAGGGACTGGGTCTTTCTAGGTGCATAGCTCTGTTCAGAACGGAGTACGTGATCCTGGCAGTAGCTGCTGGAAGGAGAGGAGGGTAGGGTCCTGAGTCTGGGGAGGTCAGGGAAAATGGAGCTTGGAGTTGTGTTGGATTGGGGGAAGTGACGGGAAGTGAAAGACACTGCAAGCAAGGGGAACAGGAGAAGCATGAGGCCATCTGGCTCAGCAGAGAGTTGGTGAAGGGAAGGATGAAAGGTAGGTTAGAGCCACTTGACTTACCCTTCAGGCAGCTGGAAGCTCCCAGAAGTTTCAGTGGGGAAATGGTACAGATAATGTTTGAGAGTCGAGTAAAGTAAGTTTAAGCTTGTAGAATGGATTCTGAAACGAGTGCAAGTATGCTGAAGATCATCCACTGGCTTCTGAACAAGTATTTGCAGCTTATTTTTAACACGATTTCATTGCCAAGAAATACAAACACCACCACTGATTTAGCATGAAAATACCTCAGAATGTGTTACGAGTTCCTCCTGCTGTTTTGTAAAATTCTCGAAACCTAGCCTTGTCGCACGGGTATCACCCCAGCTTCCGATTAAAATAAATGTTCTAGACACACAGTAAGGATCCAACAAATGCTTGTTCAACAAAAATGAGGAGAGGCGGTTTTTAGAGCAAAGTAGGAAAACAGATTAGGAGCCTGCCAACGGACTCCTCTCCTCCTGGAGAGGCCCCTGAAAAAGAGCATTGTTCTGGAAGGTGGATCTGAATTCAAGTCCTAGCTCCCCCCCGTGGCAGGCTAGTGCCTTCAGGCAAGTCACTTTCCTTTTCTGGGGCTGTTTCTTCGTTTGTAAAATGGGCTCAAATTCCACATTCTGGAGGCAGATCTGGGTTCCACCACCTCTTGTCCTGGGGTCTCTCCGAGCTTCAGTGCCCCCATCTCTGAAATGGACAGAGTGACAGCGGTATCTCACTAGGTTGTTGTAGGATTTAAAGGAGATACTGTGTGGGAAACGACAGCACGCGGATCCATAAAAAAAAACTCCCCATAAATGTTAGCTCCCCGGATTTCCAGTTCTAGAATTCTGTGATCCAGGTTAGTCAACAGGCAGTGATGTCTGGTGGGTGTGACACAGCACAACCAAACAACTTGCTATTTTCAGCTTGCAGAAGAGAACACCCAAAGGGGACCTAAAGACAATCTTCAAATACTTCAAAGACTGTCATGGAGAAAAAGAAAACGATGTTCTTCTATGCTTCTCCAAAGAATTTAAGTAGGCCCAGTGGGCAATGCTGTGTAAATGCCGAACAAGTTGAACTTGTCTGCAAAACGGAACGAATTGCTTTGTACGGTAGTGTGTCCTCCATCACTGGAGACATTCAAACAAAAGCCGATCACCGTGTATCCACGACTTGTGCAAAGAGCTCTGAGAATGAAGGTCTATCGAAGAGCTCTTCCAGTTCAGATTTTATGAAAGACCTTCTAAGATCTTTGTGATGAGACAGCATTTTGGTCCAAATAGAAGTTTCCAAAGACCAGACTCAGTATGTGTCCACATTTCAAAAGTCTAAGGGCTCATCTGTTTGCTTTGCTTTTACAGTTTCCTCATTTGGCTGTTGGATTTTAAGCAAAAGCATCCAAGAAGCAGAAGTCCTGTCTGAAATCGAGACCACCTCCTTTCATGGTTATTCACCCTTTTTGTGTGTACAACAGACACTCTTTACAGTGAAGTCTCCCTAATTACATACAATGAGACAAGGTCAGAGATAAATGCGATATTTAAAAAAAGATTAAACATTTGTTTAAATGGTCATTTCATAATAGCTTAAAATGTTTGGTTTCCTTTTTTTTTTTTTTAATTTAACGTTTATTTATTTTTGAGAGAGAGAGTGAGACAGAGTGTGAGTGGGGGGAGGGCCAGAGAGAGGGAGACACAGAATCGGAAGCAGGCTCCAGGCTCTGAGCTGTCCGCACAGAGCCCGACGCGGGGCTCGAACTCATGGACCACGAGATCATGACCTGAGCCGAAGTCGGATGCCCAACCGACTGAGCCACCCAGGCGCCCCTAAATGTTTGGTTTCCTGAAAGATGATGCTATCAATATTTTCTTGGGTGCAGACACATAATTAAGATATTGGTTCAACTTTTTGTTTTAAACATACACATTTATTTCATTGGCTTAATTTTTTAATGCTTATTTATTTTGAAAAAGAGAGCGTGTGCACATGTGCGAGCTGGGGAGGGGCAGAGAGGGAAAGAGAATCCCAAGCAAGCAGGCTCTGCGCTGTCAGCATAGAGCCTGACACAGGGCTTTATCTCATGAGCTATGAGCTCATGACCCAAGTCAAAAATCAAGAGTCGGACGCTCAACTGACTGAAGCACCCAGGCGTCCCAGTATTGGGTTCAATTTTATTGACAATTCTTAAGATTCTTTCTCATGCTCAACAAAGTGTGTTGTGCCACCCAGTGAACTCTTGTCTACATCAGCAGAGCAGATGATATAAAACAGGGAAAAATTAAGAATTCACTTATATTTAGTCCTATAATGACACTGTGTTTCTATTCCAGCAGTTTCACAAAGTAGTTCTTATTCCCCGAGCACAGGGGAAGATGTTGTGGTCCATTGTGGAGGTACACCGACTCAAGATTTCAAAACTAGTTCTATGTACGACCTTGAGAAATTTAAGTTTCCACCATCTGGCTCCTCCATCTGTAAAAAGAGCAGGTGGAGGGGCGCCTGGGTGGCGCAGTCGGTTAAGCGTCCGACTTCAGCCAGGTCACGATCTCGCGGTCCGTGAGTTCGAGCCCCGCGTCAGGCTCTGGGCTGATGGCTCGGAGCCTGGAGCCTGTTTCCGATTCTGTGTCTCCCTCTCTCTCTGCCCCTCCCCCGTTCATGCTCTGTCTCTCTCTGTCCCAGAAATAAATAAACGTTGAAAAAAAAAAATTAAAAAAAAAAAAAAGAGAAGGTGGACCTTCAACCTCTAAGGTGCCCTCCAGTTCTCTAAAAACCCACCGTGAATGATTGGCTGTGGGATGGCAACAACACGGCCATTTCTTTGAGTGTGTGTGGATACCCAGGCAATATTCTAGACCATATGTGCTAGAAGACCACATGGCTGGTAGGGAAAAGAGTACCACAAATTTAAATCATCTAAGAGGTATTTTGTGTTTCACGAAGGGCTAACTGTAGCAAGTTTTATGAAAGAAAACATTTCGAGCTGTAGTTCTGAAGAACACGGATCCCATAGTTATCTTTAGATTTATCCCATAGTAAATCTTTAAAAAAAGATTCCCATTTTGCCAAGATTCAGGAAGAACCTGACAGATAATAGGGTTCCAAAGAGAAACAGACTACGAGAATTCGCGGTAGTTAATGTTTGTAATTATAATTGACCTTGCTGGGTCTATCTTGAGGTTGGTGGTTCAGTACAGAGACACGATGAAACTTGGAATCCAAATGACTGTCAAAGCAATAACATAAAATCCCGTCGCCAGAGTAAAGCCTAGTGTCAAGTCTCTATCCTCTTCCTCTTTCCTTCGATGGTGGATGCGAACTGACCGTTGGCGTCCCGCCAGGACCATGTGTCATCGCTGAGTGACTGCCAACCCCTGCCTCCCCCATCAGTGGTACTGAAGGGACACTTCTGAGCAGCCTCGTGGCTGAAATCAGGAGCTTCTCTTCCGACAGGTTCACTCCCCCTTGGGAGACCCTCAGTGGCGACTGACACTGAAATGTTTGCAGAATTTTTGGTAAAACTGTAGAAACCAAACACAAAGTATAGCAAGAAAGAATTCTGGCCACCGTGTAGATTTAAAAACATGAAAATGTTTATATCTTATTTAACATCTGACACAGAAGAAGCCACATTTACACAGACACATTAAATCTTCAGAGCACTTGAATCACAGTTTTGGACCTTAGATATGACAAATGCTCATATGAGGTGTATCCGTAATTTCTTCTGTAATTGATTTTTACAAGTTATACCATGATAAGACTTAATTAAAGTTACTCGTGGCATATTTTCAACATTTTATAAGTAAATCCAATGCTTACCACAATCGATTTTTGTTGCTTACATAGGAAGTTCTCATGATTTTAGTATTACACAAATTGAAGCTGAGACCACACTCAAAAATGAGCTTAGAAAATGGCATTACAAAAAACTGGGAGTGAGAAGTAAAAAACCCATGCAGGGCTGCTGCGCAGAAGTAAATCGGAGGTTTTCACTGCCATAAGTCTTCAGTGCGGCCAAACTTAAAAACCAGTCCCCTGCAAATGAAATGAGAAACATCACACCTAGTTGAGTTTGGGGCTAAAATGAGTATGTGAGATTTGGAAAATGGTGGGAAACTGGCAACAAAGACTTGACGAGTTGTATGAAAAAAGCCATGAAACGTATCAGAATAGACACTGATCATGTGCAGTTACCCACCAAGTCCACCACTGCCTTAGCTTCCAGGGGCTGAAGACGTATGTCACCCTTAAAAAGTTAACCAGAGTTTAGTAGGTAACCATACTATCATATTCATTCAACAAACCTTTCTTGAGTGTAGACGTGTTAGATGCTAGGGCTACAAAGATGAGTAAGATACAGGGTCCCTGCCCTCAAGTTGTTCACGTTCTTGATGACACAGCGTGGTAATGGCGAGAGAGGTGAGGAAGGGGGAGGAGGTATTTATACCACATGTTGAGGGAGCACAGAAGCCTATAGAATTTATTTGGCCTGAATGTGTTAGAAAAGGAGTTACAGGGGCAGTAATATTTGAGATGGGCTTTGAGGGGCAAGCAGGAGTCTGAATGGGATATTTGCAGGGACGGAAGCTAGTTTGATGAAGGAAGAGGTTTCAGGAGAGGAAACAGTAGATCAAAAGGCAAAGAGGAAGAAAAGACCGCGGGGCCTCGGGAAGAGCCCAGGAGGAAAAGCCCAGGGGACTGTGGCGTCAGGAACACGCACACACACAAAGTACAATCCAGGGTTTAGGGGCGGAGCTATCTACAGCTCTCTTCAAGGTTTCAACTTAAGAGGGGCAAGAGGGCAATTACACACATAAGAAGATACCTGTCTAGGTCTAGATCTGCAGATACACATAAAGGTGTCTGAGGTGCAGAACAGGAAGAGTCCAGTACAGCTAGATTAGAGCTTCAGGGGTAAGAAAGAGAGGGAATGGAGGTGGCCAGGATTTGGTAAACCGATTGACCAGGGTGGCAAACTGCCCACAGGGGCTTTCCGAGTCTTAAGTGAGTCAATAGGGCAGTGCCAGCCTGTGCGCTCTACTCCAGGGGGCAACAGACCCCCCTCTCGGCCGATTTCTGAAATGGGGTTATGCTGAGCCGCGTCCCCTACTTGAAAGGAACAGCTATTCGCCTCCAGCTGATGGTTGCCATGCGAGGCTCAGGATCGTCAGATCTTCCAGTTTTTGAAGAAAAGCCAAAAATTCAGATTTTGATGTAAAAATCTCTTGATTCTGAACCGTCGGCTCAATAAAACAGAAAATACCGTACAGGATAAACAAGACAGAACTGTGGACAGAATCTTGCGGAATGGCCGCTAGTGTTGAGTTCTTCTGGAGACAGCTCCAAGTTTTGAAAAATTTTAACAAGGGAAATGACAGGATTAGAGCCATGTTTTTAGAAGGAAAAGTGACACAGGAAAACTAGATTCAAGGGAGGAACCTATCAGGGATGTGAACTGCTCAGGACGGGATGGTGGTGACCGAACAGGAGAAATGGACAACAAGGGAACAAGTGTAAGACAATTCAGAGGCAGGTTCACTGGGCCTTGGATGTGGGGGGCCAGCGTGAGGGCGAAACTGAAGACGGAAGCAGACGCCAGTGGCATATGGAGGTTTTCATTTTGTTTTCTCATCTGTTTACCACTTAGCAGTGTATACTTAAGGTTAAGCCTACAATCCTAATGATCAGTTTACCCTTAGAAAAATAAACACTTGAGCGTCTTTTGATGAAAACAAAAATGCAACCAGGAAACGGTCTATACACTCTCGCAAGTATGTTAATTTCTCTTTATAAAGGATTTCCTAAATGCTCCAAAAAGTGATCTGGTCTCTATCTTCTGGTTAGGATGAGGGAGGCCTCCACCCTCCACAGAGCCTGAATGCGACACACTTCAGAATACTACCCAACAGATGTAAATTGTAATCTGAAGAGTTTCTTGGGCAAAAGCCAGTCCCTCCTACACTGTCAGATGGTCACCTTTGGTACTGACATCTGTGTCTGATTTCTGAAACCGTAATTTCTCAGCTGTTGCTGAGTATTGTTCTGTTATGAATCAGAATGGTAGGCAATCAGCTACAACTATCCTAGTAGCAGTGCCTATTTGCTGAATTTGATTTCACTTTGCTTATAGTATTTTCAAAAACCCGAATTCCTTTTTAGACTTAATAGGGACAACAGGACCAAATGAGAAACTAACCAAACTTGTTGCATATAAAAGGAATTTATCGTAATTTGGGACGAGTCCATGACTGGTTTCCGAGGTTTTGTGACATATGAAAACTGCTGTATGAACTTAGTGTTTCTTCTCTCATTGGAAGAGATACACATTTCCCGAAAATCTTCCCCCTCAATCCTCTGTTCCTCCGTGCTGTGACAGAGTGACTTCTCTGCCACAAGCAGCATCTCAGCGTGGAAACTGTTTCATCCTTTATCACTGCCAGAGTAAATAATGATAAAGAAGGCTGCTGTTTCCCCTCCCTGGCTGGTTCTCAGTAAATCCCCTCCCTAGGAAGCTTTCCTTACGCACCCTTATGCTGCCTTCCTTTGGCTGAAGTTGTGGGGTACTTAGTTCTCGGGGCACCTCTACCCCTGGGGACATACGGGAGT